GGAAAGGAAGAAAGACTCCTTAAGTGTAGGATTTCAATTCATCTTGCAACCAAACTGACTTTGATTTAACCAATTTTCAAACACTGTCCCCAATTTTAGGATTGAACTAGAAATGGTGGTTTGTTTGTTTAGAAGTGAATATGTCAGTGACTAAATGAAATTTCTGAATGCATATTTTAAAAAGTGTGTGTATATCTTCATTCAATAAACATGTATGTAGGGCCTTCTATAATGCTAGGCATAGCAAGAAGTGCTGGGGATACAAGGATGGATTAAATACAGCTGAAAGGAACTTGTGATCTGTGAGGGAAAGCGGCAGGTACACAACTAATTATAATGCAACATGGTAGTGTTAAATATAATAAATAAAATAAGCATTATAGGGCAACTGAAAGGAAAGCAATTGGTTTTGCTTTGGGAATTTGGGGAAATGTCATGAAAAAACAATGTTTTATCAATATATTGAAAAATGAGTAAAAGTTCCACAGGCAAAGAATGGAATGACCATTTTTATTTAAAACAAGAACAACAAGGCTGACTATAGATTTTTACACTGTGTATATCAGACTTAAAGCAGCTTAGTTGGAGATTATTTGAAAGAGATCTTGAAAAGTTTGCTGTGTTGGGAGTACATTTTCAATAGGGAAGAAGACATTCTTCAGATATTCGTTTTACCAAAAAGATTTAATGATGCTATTTGTAGACATGTTGTAACATTGGAAATATGCGTGTATTGATTTAGGGTAAACTAAGGAAATTTCACTTAATGGGCAAAGGAATGTCATATATGGTAATATTATTTAAAATACGCTGACTAAAAATCTTTAGTATCTTTTCTCCGATTTACGTGACATAAACTACATACTGGTGTGAGGTACTATAAAGGTTTTATTGCCACTTGTTTGGTATTGCCTGCATAACTTGCTCTGAGTACCAGTTGTGGGTATCTCAAACTAAGTGCCATAAAACATTTATAGCATGCCAATCCACTGCCTACACTTTCCATAAAGACAAAACTTTAGTGCTCACGAAAGCACTTACAAATGTATAGTCAGTAGAGAAAACTTTTGTTTTATTTTGATTCTAGACCTCCAGTCTGCAGTAAGAATAATAAATGCTGTGGGGAAGATTCATGTTACTTCTCTGCAGGATCTCAAATTATCTGGCAAATTCCTTCCTCAAGGATAACCCCTTTTCAAAGATATCCTCAGTAAATGCATACTGGAATTAACATAAAATTGGCAAGGTCACTTGTGCCTATACGTTTGAATTCATTTGTAAATAACCACTACTCACTTCCTTGCTTCCCCACCCCAGGACCAGACTCCAAGCATCACAGGTGCCGAAAGACTTACAAAAAGGAATGAATAGGAACAAAAGGATGTAGGCGCCAGGAGGAAAACAATCTCCCAGAACAAAATTAGTTTCAAAAGGAAGAGCAGATCCAATACCAGGTATCAGGAAGTTTTAACTGCTTTTAAAATGGCGGTCAGAGATAGTATCAAATTTATTAGATCTACTATGCTGGCCTGATTTGTTTAAACCTTTATGTTAGACTTACCTTAAGGGATAGATTTCCGTGCTAAGCACTTAATAGGTGTTAAACCAGTACTGGTTTTTAAGGGTGGTGGCCAATAAATACAAACGTTACTGTTATTTTTTACTTTTACTTTATGCCTTAAGGAACAATGATCCCCAAGTTTCACTACTATAGTAGAGGAAACGCAGCTCATATACAATAGAAGAGCCTCAAATAATCATTAAATCCTCATCACCACCATCAAACAGCTTGGAGGTCAGATAGGAAATGTTTTTGGTAGAGAGTCTTGCTGAAGTTCCAAGTCTCAAACAAAAAACTCTTTAACACAAAATGTGCATAGCGAGTTTAAATTTATTGTAAAGTCATCCAGATGGTAGATGGACTAATTAATGAAGAGGCAGTATTTGTCTTGGGATGGAAGATTCTGAAATACAGAATGAGAAAATCCCCAAGGTGGGGGTGGGGGCAGTTAATAAGAGCCCTTGGGAAAGGTTCTTTCAATGAGGATTGGGAATTTATACGTTTGAATTTGAATCTCTTTGAATATAAATCTCCCCCCTAACAGCAGGAAAAGGGTCCCCTAGCCGAGCAAGCTTTGGGCAGGAAGGGAGTAAACGGAACTGTAAAACAGCCCGCTCAGCTGTTTCTGGTTTGAGACTAGACGCAGAGAAAAGAAATCGCGATATGGGAACAGAGTATTTGGGTCATTCAAAATAATTCGAAGGATCAAATAACGAACTCCAAGCAAAGCGCTGACAAGCCTCCCCACTTTGTGCGCCCCCCGCCCCGCGCCCCAGGCCGGGTTTCCGCTCAATGTCCCCTCCCTCGCGCAGGACCGACAGCAGGCGCGGCCCCTTCCCACGCGGGGCGCGGCGCGGCGAGCACGGACAGCTCCCCTCCGAGCGGCCGACAGCGCGGAGTCTC